TAAATCAAAGGGCGACGCCACAGCTCTCACTGAAGATCGGCTAGGACGGCCCTTAAATCTAATCCACAACTCTTTGAGCAAAAATACCGCGGCCGCGATTGCAGGAACAGAGGTGGCTGCCCGCTGGAAAATCTCCCAGGGAGCGAGCATTTCCCAAGTGATAAGGATGCTGAATGGGCCTGAGCCGGGAAGCCTTGGAAAACAATTAGCTGTGGAAGCAGATAACCTGTTGAAATTATGGCCCTGCACTTTATGGCTCTTAATAAATTTTCTGGCAGCCTCTTCCCAGCACAGGACCCGGTCTGCTTATACCTTTAGTCGCTGGAGGGATTAAGTCATCAAAGTTTCATCTACCTGCCTGACTTTAACCAGAATTGCAACTTACTTGCCTGGATCCCGTTCAAAACTGCTGTCTATATAGATCACAATTTAATATATAGGGGACTAACATAAGGCTGACTGTTCCCGGGACCGAAATGTCAAAATCTGCATTTACAGGTTCAGAATTACCTTTAACATTGCACACATTTTAAATGGTAATCCTTGTGGACGATGTGAATAATTAAAAGAAAGGACTGTGGGATTTGCCTTTAATCCCCGCTGTCCTTCCATCACCCAGAGAGAATATGGGGTAGGTAACAGCTGGGTTTGAAAGTCATGCGACCCTGAACTAGCATGCCTCATTCATGGACTCCTACATCCTCCATTTTCTCCTGTGTAGAGGGGGACAGTGTCCACCTAATGAATATGGAAACTAGTGTCAGTTTTGTGCGCCAAATGATCTGGCTCCCTTCTCTTTCTAGGACAAACTGGTTTTAGAGTTTTTCCAGGTCTAAGTGCGTGGGTGATTTACAAGGCCGTTATTATTTAAGCATCCATTTGTGTGAGGGATTCTTTCAAGAGACGCAGTAGCTTGTTTTTGTTGGACCTGAAACCCTAAAGACTAGTTGCCTTCATTCATGGCTGATTTATAAATTGTAAATCTGATGATCCAATGGGTAAGTTAGGGAAAAACCATGTAGACCGGTCTCTGGCTCTGATTCAGTACTGGAAACTACTGGCTATTGCCAACGACCTAAAAGCTTCCTCCTGCCTCCTACTCTCATGGGGAAGCAGGAAGATATCCAGGCACCAGCACTCATTTCTCTCTGGCTATCTGTCCAATGGTCCCAGCACCTCCTACGTCATGATGGACATGATCCCTTTAAGGAGTGAGAAAAAAATAAAACCCACAAGAGACTCACCATCAAAATGACCGAAGCAAAATCCTTCTTTCTGTAAGCTGCTTTTGTCACAGCAGCAAGAGTTACCAACACAACCGTCTTTGAGGTGGCAACAGCAGAGGCATTTTTAACCATGGCCTCTGAGAGTCCAATGATGGGGGAGACACACATGGGAAGCACAGTTGTCTCATGTTACAGAGGATATTTTAATACAATTTGGTGGAGTGCCCACACATGCTGCAAAGGAGAGAGCCTAGCACAGTGTCCACAACATAGGAAGCTCTCCCAAAGAGAAAGGATAGAGTGAATTTAGCTTTTCCATCTTCCTTCAGGCCCAGATTAGGGAATATTGACTTCCTGCTGCCTCAGCTTCCTTACTTATGTAAAATAAGTAAGAACCTGATACACTTTGACTACACGAGAAGCCAAAATTACTGTGATCATGAAATATTCAGCATGAGATGTAAACAATAATTAGTCAGGAAAAGCATGGCCACTAAAAGAGAATTTCAATTTCTAAGACACAAAGTAACCTATGGTTTCTTTGGACATGTCAAAACAGCTTTCATTAAGTCTTTATTTTAGTACCATTGTATGCAGGACTCGGCTTCTTTGTGGAAAGTCGGAGACTTGTTCCAACTCACCACCGTCCATGACTGTTGAAAAGAACAAGTAATGGGAGTGATTGCAAGGTGCTTCCTAAAATCCAGGAATTATACAATAATAATAGTAATCATGTGTGACTAAAAGTATTTCCATCTTAGTCGGTTGTAAGTAATATACTTTCTCTTTACTTAAGTCTCTTTTTACCCTCTAAATAATGCATCACCCCTTGCATTTACAATCTCCTGGCCTGCTTTTTCGTATTTTAAATTAGGCTCCAGCATGCCCACCTGAGCTAACACCCTTCACGTCAAGAGTACTGCCAGGCAAACTTTAACAACAGAACTTGGAGATTTATGGCCTGGGCTTCGAGGAGGAATGTCAGCTTCCCAACAATTCAGGGAAAGAACCCTCACACCTCATTTCTTCATTCAAATGAATTCAACAAATATCTCTAGAACATAAAGCCAGAGCCAGGCAATGTGTTACAAATACGGTACACCTCAGATGGCCACACAGACTTGGAAACTAATCACTGTAATACCGGTCATAAAAGTTTTATTGAGGATATGCAGAAGGTATCTCAGTAACATACAGTGTGGAATTACCAACTCTGCTGGGAGGAGGGGCATGGACCATGTCTTGGTCTGTTCAGTGGCAGATAACTGAGCTCTTTGTACGTCTGTGTACCACTTTCAGGAATAAGTTTACAACAACAGTTCTAGCTCCCTGTGGGGGCTGCTACTCTTGGGATGATCAGAGAGCCAGAGACCACACATTCTTGGTTCCCATGCTGCTGGGGCCTGCGTGCTCCTGCAGCAAAACTCAATGGCTCTGTGACCAGGTTTGAAGCAGAAACATGGCTAACCCTCATGTCTCTCCTTAGGCTGAGTGGTCTGCTTAGTCAAAGGCGGGCCCCATGTAGAACTCAGGTTGTGAAGAAATGCGACCTTCAGCATCAGGTCCTCTAGCTAGTAGGAATCTCTGATTTCGAAGATGTAGGTCAGGACACCATCCTATCACCGGTAACTTCAAGGTTTTTAGAGAAAGAGCTGCCTGATCTGGGCCTTCAGGGCCTAGGAAGGGTCCACTATAGGGTATTTCAGCAGAGACAGCTATGTTTCTACAGCCTTGGCACAGTATGTCCAGACTAAATTTAAGACATTGAAGTATTAGTAGCACAGATGGAAAATGAGAAAAGGTAAGAGATAGGAAGGAAAGATGGGGCTGGCTTCAAAATGCTCAGGACTTACAACTTAAGCTTGCAAGTGGTAGACAAACCCAGAGAGGTTTGAAGATGTAAGTTTGTATGTGCACACACCTGTGTATATGATCCAGACAGAGATTAGTATCCTCTCTCTCTCTCTCTCTCTCTCTCTCTCTCTCTCTCTCTCTCTCTCTCTCTCTCTCTCTCGTATGTGTGTGTGTGTGTGTGCGTGTGTGTGTGTGTGTGTGTGTGTGTGTACACACATGCTCATGTACATACCACAGGACACATATGGAAGTTCAATGGCAACATTAGAAGTCGGTTTTCTTCTTCCATTGTGAATTCCAGGGATTGAACTCAGGTCATCAGGCTTGCTGGGAAAGTGCTTTTATTCACTGATAAAAGTGTTGGGACAAGATGCTGGCTCTTCTGTTAAACATGGAAAAGTTCATTTCATGAGAAATGCCAGAGAGGTAAGTATTTTGCCCAAGGTTATGCAGTGAATTAGTAGCTAACACCTAATCAATGTTTTAAATCCATGTCTACCAGTTTTCAATATTTTTTTCTTAAAGACTTTGCTGGCTCTAGCTGGGTAGTCTGGCCAGTTTTCCATTTCAGAAAAAAAACCCTGCCAAGAATAGAGATAGAGGTGGGTGGTGTAGAATGGAAGAATTCTAGACCACTACAAAAGTAAGTGAGTGGACATGGAGGTATTCTGGGAAGATGTATTTACAAAGGCAGGTTGTAGGTCTTAGAGAACAGAGGTGAGCTGAAGAGAGTAAGTGCATGGATAAATGAGATGCTGTATATGGCTGTGGAGGAGGCTGAGGAGAGACAGTGACTAGGCTGAGCCTAGCTATACCACAGCACCAGGAAGTGTGGGCATGTTTGAGGACTGATGTACAATGTCTACAGAGTGTATATGGTACATGGGTGTGGTTGGAGGGCAACTTCCAGATTTCTGCCTTGTAACTGGATATGGCAGTATCATTGTCCACATGCAGAATTGTGAGAACAGGTATTTTGGGAGAAAGTTTGCACACACTGAGTTTAAAGGGCTTGTGGGGTCATTACCATCTGGATGTCCAGAAAAAGAAAGCAGGAACGTTCAGAATAAGATATGAGTTAAAGCAGTCAGCCTGGATAGATCTGGAAGATTGATGAAACCTTGGCTGAACTTGCCCAAGTAGATGAACTTGCTAGAAAAATGGAAAGGGCTGAAAATAAGTGAGGGACCTTGAGAGAGACAGTGACGCTGTTAAAGATGACCTTCCGTAGATGAGGTGACAGTGATTCTAGAATGAAAGAGGCAATCACTGTTGAGTGATGCTGTGGCTACTATGATGGGAAGCTCTGATCTCCCTTCATAAAAGAACTACTTTCTCAGCTGCTGTGAGGACCATCCAAAACTGGTCCCAGCTGTTAGGACTGTGGGGGTGCCTCAGCCTAAGAAAATTGCCTGATCATAGTTTCTTTCTCTTCCTAGGGTAGCCATCTGGCATAAAGGCTCACTCTCTCATCCTCACTTGAGGAAACTCTGAGTGGCCAGCATCCTCCAGAGTTTCCTGTGGACTTGCCTGGGGTTAGTATGCGAGTAAATTGCAGCTCTGCCTCTCCCTGTCCAATCTTGTCTGCATGCACCAGACACCCCTTTGTCCTGCTGGTCTTGGTGTTGCTATAGAGCCGCTCAACTATTAGATTGGTGGTTTCCAACATAGGGGTCTCGACTTCTTTGATAAACCTCCAAAAATATTTACTTAGAGATTCATAACTGTAGCAAGATTACAGTTATGGATAGCAACAGAAATAGTTTTATGGTTGGGGGTCACCACAACATGACTGCATTAAAGGATCACAGATTTAGGAAGGTTGAGAACCACTGTATTAGAGTGATCAGAGTAGGCAGGCAAAGGCTCACCTAATCATTCAGCAGATTCCCCAAACAAATCAAGACACTGATGCCTCACTGATTGAATAGCGCTTTATTTTAATGCAAAATAAAACATGAAAAATTTATATACTCATATACAATAACATCCAAAATGTCTTCAGTGATATAAATGGGATCATATTAGAAAGTTTGTAAAGAATTCACTCTCCACCCCCATATGACAAAATATGATTTCACATAATTTATCTTTAGAATGTATGAACAGATGACTTGGTAATCATAAAAGAACAGGAAAGACTAGAGAAAGTGAGGGTATAAACAACAGATTTTGTTTTATGTTCCAGTAGTAAATAGCATTGCAGATGGAATGGAACACTTTCTGAAGATCAAGAGATGGGCTCAAATCTTTGGGAATGGTTCACTTCCCACTCTGAGCTTAGTAACAAAACCCAACTTTAGAAGCCAGGCTGTGGGTGACTGTATGCCTACTTAAGGAGAGGAGGGACAAAGAGTTAGAGGCCAAGGTTCCATGTGAGAATCCTGGCTTTGTTTTAGACCTCTTAACTTTTTTGCCTTCCCTTTTAGCAGAAAGGTGACCTTGTTGGGATGTCTTATGGAGAATCCCTTTCCCCATCTCCCTGTTGCCTCGTTTCTACACAAAGTTGGTGTGAACTGAGGTGGAGAAACACTATTATGGACGTTTCTGAATGGAACCCTGACCTGCCTTATTAATTGCATGAAACTTGGACTTTTTTTCTGTTAATGTGGGCCAGGGAATGATGGGATGTCTACCCAATTTAACACCAATTGGAAAGCCGCTCACAATGGATCTCAGAGTTTAGTGCTGATGGGAATTTTACAGAGACACATTCCTTTGTCAACTGCTTTTCCATTCCTTCCACAGGCTTGCAATTCAGTAACACTGCTCAAACACTAAGCAGAAATCAAACAAAGCCAAATGCTGTTGATTTTCATTGAGGGGAAAAGTAGTCTTGGTCCCTCTGTGGACTAGGGAGCAGAGGAACCAGTTCTCTTGATCCTGAAGTTGCAGGAAGATTTCCTTCACAAGATAGATTTAGCTAAAAATAATTCAGGGAAGTGGATCTTGTTTTAATTTTATTCTGTTGGCAGCAGAAATAAGGCTCCAATAAAGCCTCCAAGGCTTCGTTTCTCCATGATGCTATTGAATACATCAGACTTTTGCTTCATGAGGTCCTGTGGGTTCAACGTAGATGTTCTGAAAAGTCTCAGAATAATGAATTTTAGAATAATTTTTTCTAAGCTTTGTTTGCTATGGAATCATGATTTTAAGAAAATGTTCCTTTGTTTGTCCACTGATTCAGCTCTGGAGGGAAACAGTATTAAGCCAAGAGGGGTGGTGCCTCAGCCCAGGGGTGTGATGAGCTGTGTTTCTCTTGTGGAAGACTGGATTCTCTAGGGACTAAAGGTTTTCAGTGGTCTGTTCTCTCTTACCTTTCTAGTCATAGAAGAAAGGGAGGAAAGGGGACAGGTGAAACTGGGTGGCCCAGTAGCAGGTTTGTAGGTCTTGATAAACCTTTCTCTCTGTTCCCAGTTACAGAGATATCTGAGTGAGTTTTCTCAAGGTTGCAAATATCCTGGTAGCTATTTCCTTCCTCTGGGGACCTGCTGATCACAGCCTGGACTTCCAGATAGCCACCTGTTCTCCTAGCACCCCGGAATAATGGTCCTGGAGCTGTGGAGAGGAGACGGATAGTACTCAAGCTTTATAAATTTTACTGTCCAAACTGTTCTTAACTGTTGGTTGGCTTGATGTAGCCTCCGTCACAAATATGTTAGTTCTTTAGGGCAGGGTCAAATGCAGTGACTGCTATATTTTTAAGCAAGAAAAGAAAGCTGTTATCATCTCTTTTTTTGTTCTCTTTAACAATACCTCTCAAGATTAGCAATTACTGGATGGATTATGTATACAACACAAAGCCAAGGTCTGAAGCAGTTTTTCTGAAGCCTGCATATAGGGTGCTGTGCACCCAAGGTGTCAATGCTGGACTCAAAAACATGAGCGGTCATCCTCAGTGCCACATCTCTACAGCATGCCTTTGTCACCTACCTGTGGTCCATCTGTAAGTGGTCCACCCTTCCTGCAAGGGGAAACTTTTGCCATGGGTAGAAACAGTGCTTTACAGAAATTTGAGTAAAATATAGAACATATTGAAGAGTAATGTTAAAAAAAAACAAAAACAACCTACTCCCCCCCAAAAAAACCCCACAGGGTCTTGTCATACAGTCCAGGCTGGCTTTAAGCCCACCCTGCAGTTCAGGTTAGCCTCCACCTTGCAGTCTGCCTGCCTTGACTTCCTGAGTGCTGGGATTCTCCGCATGTGGCACCATGCCCAGTTTAAGAGTTAAACTAATGCTTCCCCCCAAAAGTTGCTTTTCCTTCACTGTATCATTTTCTTTCAGCGTGAAAGGCCATGTTCAGCATGGTGGCCAGGGACCCTACAGCATAGCCACAGTGCCTTGTTGGGCAGTGCCTGAGGTCCTCCACCCCACTGAACAAATTACATAGGATGGAAGGGCGCTGGCTGACGAGAGATGGCAGAGGACAAAAAGCAACTTGGCAGTCAGTTTTTCAGAGGGCCGCAGTAATTGTGGTTTAGATAATGATCTCTCTTGAAGTCCAGCAAACGACACTATTTACGTCTAAAACCAACGGTTGCATCATTCTTGGTAACAAAACTATTTAAAAAAAAAGAAAAGAATAAATCGGGCCAGATGGCTACTCTATGTGTTTTAGAATACTATAATTCAGTAAAATCTGTTGGTCAGTGGTTTTCTACTCTCAGCCAAAATATGTCTATATTGAACTAAGGACCTTTCGGGGAGGGGGCTGAAGAGGGAATGTGAGCCGCTTAAAGTTCTCAGCAGTCACTGACACATTCACGATGCCGGTTCAGTGGTCTCTGCCATTTCTCAGTCTTTTGCGTGTGTTCCCATTTGGATCAGTTTGGACGCTTAGGATGCTCTGTGGTGTATGCAGAAAAGCTCAAAGGAAACAAGAGCAGCTTCCCAGCTTCTCAGAATACTTTTTTCTTTGTCTTTTAAATCAGGTGGAGACCTTGACTTTGCCCTGACATTTGTTAATGAGATATAGCAGATGCAGACTGATTTAATCTTAATTTCTTCTCCCTTTACTTCCTCTGATTCCTTCCTCATCAAACTTCCAGAAGGCAATTTTCTCTTGTCCTCTCCATACTGGTAATCACGTGTGTTTGAAAACACACACACACACACACACACACACACACACACACACACACACACACACACTTTCATCTACTTCTTGTGGTGACCAGTATCCTCACTCACTGACCCAGGGGCAGATGGGTACTGTTTGGCACTGAGTCTGGCACTGACATCCCTAGGACATTGCTTTCTGTGTGGCCTGACCAGCAGGCTCACTTTTCCTTACCCACCCCACTCACATGTATACTTTACTCCTTGAGTGGAAATCTAAAAGTAGAGGTCTTGGTTAAAATAATTCTAGGCATTTGGGGAGGACTCTGAAATGAGCCATCTCCAAGCAAGCATGCCAGGGCCCGGGGGAGAGGAAAGCAAGGACCAAAGGACAGCCAACCCTCTTCACCTGCTCACTGTGGTTCTGGCTGGAATAAGGTCCTTCTGGAAGCCCTGACAGCTTTGCACACCTCCCACCCCGCACCCCGCGGACACTAATACTGGCTTTTCTATCAAAAGCAAGGGAATGTGAAAGCTTTGTACCAGCAAGTAGTACCAGGAACCCAAGGTAGACTATAAATAAGGAAATGCAGCCTTCCTTCAGGTCGAACGTCTCAGAGGTCACTGGTTATGATTATTGTTACTTGGTTCTCAGTGAAGACACTGCTTATGAAGATGCCCATAATTGGAGCCTCTCTACTCTGCCACTGTGTAGGCGCAGCTCCAAGGATAGGGCTGAGAGTGAGTCTCTGAGTGTGTGATGAGGCCTGGTCAAGACAGCTACCTGTGCTATGTGTGGTGATGGGGTGTGGGGGTTATAACCAGCTGGTTTTCTAGCCAGGGTTTACTATAGTGTATCACTATTGATTCTTAATCAATTGCCCCTCTTCTACAACCAACCAGTTCTTCAAGTCTTTCAAGTATCAGGAAGTACTGTTTTTATGACCCCACCTCCTTTTTGCTTTAGAACCCACATCCCCAACCCCCTGAACCCCTTTTTTCTCTTCTGATCAGCAGTCAAGTGTCACATCCTCAGGGACCAATAGCCACTCTGTACCATGGGATACCTTCGCCTGGAGAAGGCCTTAGGGTCTAGCAAGGGCAAAGGTAGTGTTGGGTGTCTTCCTTGCTTGGCAGATCTCTGTGATGTTCAGCTATACAGCTGCAGTCATGGGGTTCTTCTGCCTGGGGTCCTGGTTACGATAGGGGTGCTGGTCAGGGCTGCCCCCTCGGGGCCCTGCTCTGCCCATCTCCTGATAGACTGGAACTCGCTGTTGCTGAGGTGGGGAAGGTGGAACATCCTGTCTGAAGGGTCCTTTTTGCTGATGGGCTGGTGGGCGTGGGTAGTACTGTGGATATTGGAGATCTGCCACCCTCAGATCTGGGGGGCGGGGATAGCTCCCTCTTGGGACATGTATAGGATGAGGCCCTGGGTAGTATGGAAGCTCTCTTTCATTGTAGCGCCCTCGGGGTGCTGCTGTCAGGTGGTCCACAGGATCTGCTGAGCCTCCCCTAGGAAGAAAAGCAGAGAGATATGTCAGGGGCTATGGAGTTGCTCCCAGCTGAAGGTGGAATGCTTCTACCTCATCTGTATTGGCCGTGACCACCCCGTAGGCCTGGGCAAGGGTAGATGAGCAGATGTGATATGTGCCCTTAAACAGTGGGGGATGGAACACTCTTCTTCTTCTTCTTCTTTTTTTTTTTTTTTTTTTTTTTGCTATCTTAGACTTTAAGAAGAAAACAGGGAAGACAGAGCAACAGGCCCTTGACACCACAAGCTACTATGCCACCTAAGACAGCTTACACTCATGTTGGTACATGAGAAGAAATACATTCCTGTATTGCTTATGCCCTTTTATATTCACTTTTATTACAGCAATCAAACTAGTTTCCTTTACAAAGTGATGTTTGGCTCTGTTAAGCCTGAACTGTTAGAGCCCAAGTCTGTATCAGAAATGGTAGCACTAATACTCTGGGTTAGAGTCCTTATAAACCGTACTCACTTCCCTCCTAGATGGCAGAGGTGCTCAGTGAGTGGGCTGTGTGTGGCCTTGGCTGAGTCCGGGTGGCTGTTGTTACACCCCTGTATGGATGGATTAGTGTGCCTCCCCTCTACTGTTCCCCCAAAGAACAATCAACTCTGGGCTGGGGAATTACCCACCTGGAATTGTGATGAAAGTAATTAGGTCTACCACAAAGTCAGTAGCAAAAACCAAGTTGCACTGCGTAATGGGCAGCATACAGAAGGGTTCAGGGCAAGAATACACACTAATGGGAAACAAGCCTGTCTGGAACTTTCTACTGAAGACAAGTATCACCTGATCTCGCCATAAGAGAAACAATACCTCTCTAGACTGTGTGCAGATGATGGCATCTTGGCTAGCCTGGGGTGAGACACATGACTTCTGTTTACGGCCTTCAAAGTCCTAGTCAACCTTCTGTGCACATATTCACCAGTACCATTCACCACATCATCGGGTCCTCCATTCTTTATTTCTCTGCTCATACGATTTTTTTTAAAAAGGAGAAACAGCAACAATAATGATGACAGAAAAGCTTGCCAATGTCAAAGTACAGACTTCTTGGACACTCAAAAGAAATGGCAGGGCTGAAAGGATACTGTGACTGTGGTTAATCAGGCACCATCAATGGGAGTCAAAATCACCCTGTAATCTGTGGAGTTGGATGTTAAAACAACCCCGTTCCCCAAATCAATGAGAATTTGCCAAGCTCTGAGTTCAGGGAAAACTGCCTATGAATGCAACCCTAAGGATGGATGAATGATCCAATCTTCCATCTACATTTATCTGTGTGGGGGTGTATGCCTAATTTTGCTATGTATAATAATGAATGATAGATCCATGAATTTGGGGGTAATTTCATTAGTGAGAATTTTCAGATAAAAATTAAATTGTTTGCGTACAAGTTATTTATAGCATCAGCTGCTATTACTCAGTTCGGGCCTCTTTGCTCTATGCTAAATTGCCCACGACAAATAGAGCAGGGATACATCACCAATCATCTGTCACTATGACCCTGCAAAATAAAGGGCCCGGTTTTCACCGTCCCTTTCCTCGACAATTTCATTTTTTTTATTTAGAAAATTTCCAGCACTCATTGCATCTTTTATTGGTTAAAAAAAAGAAAAGAAAAAAATTAAAGACCTCTTCTCTCAACCACCATGCTCATTTCTGTTTCCTTTGGCTCAAACTGGAGATTGCAGAAACACTTTAAAAAATCCTTAACCTGTGTTTCCTTTCAAAAGCTACCTGAGGTATTTCTCTGCGTGAAGTGGAACATGTGGTTTCTCTGCACTCATTTTAAGTCCTTAGGATAAATCACTGACATTTGCAACACACAAGCATTATCTGCCTTAAATGAACACACAACCAACACTCCCTCTGGACTCTCTTAGCGGGAATGTTTCCTGTTTAAAATGGAAAGAGAGAAGGGAGAAATTCCAGGCCTTGGTTTTTTTTTTTTTTCCTTTCTTTTTTTTTTCTTTGGGTCCTGGTCTGTCTCTCTCTAAAGATTTCTCTCTTTTAAAACAGAACATTATAAAAGACAGAATGCCTTGGGGTTTGTTTTTTTTTTCCTTTCTTTTTTTAAGCTGTGGAGAGACAATCCAGAGCAAGTGGTGACGGGATAGAAGCCACCCTGAGTGACTCGAAACCCTGAGCGACTCCACAGTGTGCAGTGTGTGCATATGCGGCCAGAAAGGAGACTATCTCCTCTCTCACACCGTACCCTGTGAGTATCCAGCACTCACTGTGGGGAGGAGGGAGGGTTCCGAGGTCACAGAGGGTGACCCCAAGATAGCATCACAGTCCCAGAGGGGTTCTCTGTAGGAGGATTATATGTTGGGGAGTTTGCTTACATGTGGCAGGCACCAAGTGAGGTGCTGCTCTTTGTCAAGCAGCGGTGGCATGGAAATCGTCATTTTCTGTACAACTCATCATAGCAGTTATAGTTTGTAATTTTTCAGGGAGAAGAAAAAACAATGAGTTGCTCTGTGAAAACACATTGAAAGTTCAAAGACCGCAGGGAGCACTTTCCTCCTGGGCTGCTGTTTATGACCCCGCCCCCCGTAGCCTATCATTTTCTACAGATTTTCACCAGAACAACTTCTAAACTATTGCAAATATTATCAAATGTGCACGCTTATATAAACATTTAAAAGAACCATTTCTGGGGAGTGGGGAGATGCCTCAGAGGTTAAGGGTACTCTTGAAGAGGATCAGAGTTCTATTCCTAGAACCCTAATGGGGTAGCTAACATCCTCTTGCAACTCTAGCTCCATGGATCTAAGCTACACACATATAGCTATATACTCACATATAGAAGCGTGCGCACGCGCACACACACACAGGCACAGGCACTTAAAAATAACACTTTTTAAGTACAAAAAACATTTTTAAGTTAAAAAAAAGATCCATATATAAGTTACCCTCTCCCTCTTGCCACACACACACACACACACACACACACACACGCACACACACACGCACAGGCACAGGCACTTAAAAATAACACTTTTTAAGTACAAAAAACATTTTTTTAAGTTAAAAAAAGATCCATATATAAGTTACCCTCTCCCTCTTGCCACACACACACACACACACACACACACACGCACAGGCACAGGCACTTAAAAATAACACTTTTTAAGTACAAAAAACATCTTTTAAGTAAAAAAAAGACCCATATATAAGTTACCCTCTCCCTCTTGCCACACACACACACACACACACACACACACACACACACACACACACACAGACAAGATGTAGGATAGAAGCCACTTAGGTGGTGGGGAGAGAGTTCACTTTGTCTCACAGTTTCAAGAGGAACAGTCATACAGTCATCCCTATGTAGAAGGCAGGCAGAGCAGACACATGAACTGGAGGGTATGGCTTAGCTCCTCACATGGATGTGGGGGCCAGTAAGCTAATGGGAACCAAAAGTGGACATCACCCACAAGACCCACTCCACGGCAACCCATTTTCTTTAGACAAGTCGCATGGACCAAAGATTCCACAACTTCCCCCGATAGTACCATCAGCTGAGCACCAAGTATTTGAACCAAATGATCCCATGAGAGAAACATTCCCTTTAAGCTTCCGTTTTCCCATGGAGTAGGCTCATTTCCACAAGTCAGAGAATTTAGGTTTTGCTTGGAAATTCATAGGGATCGTTTCAGGTTATGTTCCACATCACACTGATGCATGCAACTATGAAAATGATGAATGTTAACTGTTCTGAAGAAACATGACGAAGTCATAGGTTCAAACCATAAAACTTCCTCTTTAGCCACAGAATTGAACAAGGGAGGAAGAAAGAGCTGAAAAATTGTTGCTCTCTTAATCTTCAGTGTCTTCCCAGTGTCTGTGTATGTGTGAGATTGAATGTTGGTGAGGAGAGCAGAAATTCAGTCTGTCCTGGAGAAGGCTTGCAGAGGGAATGACCTACCTTGAGCCAATCCTGAGAAGTCCAGGGAAGCTTCCTCAGGAGACTTTGATTGAAACAAGGACTCAAACTGCAAGTATGTTAGAACACCAGGGCTCTGAATTTTTCATGTGATCCAGGAGTCCTATTATATGCATAATTAATTTCTTTAAAATAAAGAATAATTCCCCAATTTAAAAATCTTACAAGCCTGGCGTTGGTGGCACATGCCTTTAATCCCAGCACTTGGGAGGCAGAGGCAGGTGGATCTTTGTGAGTTTGTGGCCAGTCTGGTCTAGAGTGAGTTCCAGGACAGCCTCTAAAACAATACAGAGAAACCCTGTCTTGAAAAACCAAAAAAAACCAAAAAAACAAAAAAACAAAAAACCAAAAACCAAAAACCAAAAACCAAAAACCAAAAAACAAACAAACAAACAAACAAACAAACCAGAAAAGAATCTTACACAGAAGTCATATTTATTGTAGGAAAGAGAAACATGACTGTATTTGCTTGCTTGTACTTTGAGTGAACTCCTATGAAAATTCCCTTCAAATTTCTGTTTTCTTTCTGAGTAGGCTCATTTCTGTAATCCAGAGACTTATGATTTGCTTGGAAACTCACAGGGATGGTTTCAGGTATGTTTTAAATCACACAGATGCATGCAACAGTGCAAGTAATAAATGTTAATCATTTTGCCCAAACATGACAAAGCCACAGGTTATTTGCAGGTAAAGTAACAGTTAGATTGCATCTTTTCCAAGAGGACTTTCTTTTTGTGACATCTTACTACGTCACTAGTGTATATTTAGTGAAAGAGACCTGGAAATGAGAGGCTGTGCTAGTCAGCTATTCCCCGGGTACCAGTCATCATCATATAGAGAAGGATGGAAGATACGCTTCTGTTTGGTTAAACAATTATGCTTGGAAATGGGGGGATGATGTAGGAAGGACAGATCTCTATAATGCTTTTTACCAAGAAGTAGGTTGCTGTTCTCAGTGGAATACAGAAAGGTACAAGGGCAAGTGTCCATCCTCCTATCTTAGTGGCATCCTTACAGAGAAAAAC